TTGGACCTCATAAAGGCACTCAGGGAAGAGGACTCCAGAACTGCTTCAGAAACTAGGAGGAGTGTACTCACAGGAAGGGAGGATTTGGGTCGGGTTAAGGGCAGTGCGTCTTTTACCCTATTAATTACTGTAATGTGCATTCACCGTAGTTGGTGGTCAGACTTTTTCAGGAGGCAGCTGGTGAGAGGCCTGGGTCAGGAATGAGAGTCCTGGTCCTGCCCTGCACAGAAGCTGGCTGTGCACCGGGCTCTGGTCAAGATGACCCCCTGAATCTGCAGAGACTGCCTGTGCAGGTTTCCGGGCCCTCCTTAAAGGAATTGTGTCACTCCAAGCTGTGACCTGAAGGAGGAAGCCACTCTGGACGCCATGGGCCTCCGCTGGTCTGCATTTGCCTGAGGATGCGTCTGCTGCTTCCCTTCCAAGCTGATTCCAAATGACACTGCAGGCGCCTGCGTTTTTATTTCAAATGACAACTTTGGCCACACAAACTGTCACCAACTCTCATTATTGTTTTCTTTGAAAGGATTCTAAGTTCCGAGGCACACTCGGATCCTGGGATTCCTCATTGGACCTGGTTACTATAGCTACGAATGTGTCTTTCAGATGTGCCGTTTAGAAAATCATTTGGCATACAGCTGCGTGCAGGTGACAGTGCTGTCCTGGGGTGGGGCACTCGCTGAGCTGCGCAGGAAGTATCTTGCTGTCATTGCCCTCAGTCATCCCTTCTCCGTCCCAAGAAATTTTCTTGTGACGAGTTGTAAGTGAGAGTCTAGCAACTGTCCTGGGTCGCAGTGGAGTACTGGCTACGGAGCTAGGCTGGTAGTTTAAACTGTGTCCCGCTGAGTGGGTCAAGCTGCTCCTTCCTCCTGCACATCAGCTAAAAGTGAGTTTAAATTTATTGTATTTAGCTGGGGGAATAGCTCAGTAGCATAAGTGCCTGCATGGCAAACACAAAGTCCTGAGTTCAATTCCCCATGACCCCCCCCCAAAGAAAATTCTGCAATCAAATTTACTGTATTTAGGACACAGTAGGCTGAGAGTTTTGAGTTATTGGTAGGGAAATCATGCCAAATAAAAATGGTGCCAGAGGCTGGATGTGGTAGTGCACACCTGTAATCCCAGTGCTCTGGAGGTTGAGGGAGGGGGATTGCTGAGAGCTCAAGGCCAGCCTGGGCTACAAAGTGAGTTCAAGACCAGCCTGAACTACATAACAAGATCTTGTCTCAAAAAGACAAAAAAAAAAAAAAAAAAAAAAGAAAAGAAAAAGAAATAAAGGTGCCAGAATAATACTATCTAGGTTAAAATATTGTTAGGTGTCAAATGTAAAGAAAGAGAATGAAAGGAAAAATCAGTTAAAAATTGAAATATAAAATATTTTGGAACACAAATATAAAGGAAACACTGTAACTATGTAAAAGTTAACTTCATTAAAAAACAAAATTTAGGGCTGGAGATTTAACTTAATTGGTATAAGTGCCAGGTAAGTGTAAGGTCGTGAGTTTGATCCACAGTACAAAAAAAAAAAAAAGAAAAGAAAAGAAAAAGAAATTTCAAGTAAATGATAAATAGGAATAAGTATATTTTTAATATAAATGTGTAATACATGGTTGCTGTCCTTATAGAAAAGAGTTATAGAATCAGTAAGAAAAAATGAACGTTCCAAGAGAAAAAAGATACATGGATAGAAAATTTTCAATAGAAGTACTGTTATTTGGCCTGTAACTAATATTGCATACATCACATAGCATCCCATAAATATACAGAAGAATGATTTGTCAATCAAAATCAGTTTTAATAATATTTTAAAGAAAATAAAAGCACCTCACCTGTGATAGTCACCTGCAACAAGAATCAAAAATGCAAACCAAACATAAAATTGAGGTATTTTGTACCTAATTTGAAGCATTTACAAAGAATAATAATGACCTCCATTAGCAAAGGCTCACGAAAGCAGGCATTTGCAGACATAGCTTACAGATTGGATATTCATAAAGAAAAGCCTCAGTTTTAGTACAGTGTCACCAAGAATTCAGAGAACGCGCGAAGCAAGTTCTGTACCAGACCTGGAAATGCAGCTGCCAAGACTTCAGGATCCTGCACTTTAGGAGCTGCAAGGGATCAGAGGGAGGAAGAAAAATTACACAGAGGATGATTAGACCATAACCAGGCTACGCCAGAATGGATGGTACTGAAACGCAGGTGCTTCCCACTACCGTGGCTGCAGGCCCCTCTGGTACCACCCCTACACTGCTCCTCTCAGCCCTAAGACAGGTCCAGGAAAACGTGGTTCTGTACCGCTCTTCCCTCCCCAAGAGAGTCAGGCCCCCATCTATAAAGAAATACCGACCATCCGATTTCTGTGCATATAAAACATCTGATGTTGGCTTTCTTCCCAGAACTAACCCTGGAGAAATTACAGAAGCTAGGGGAAAGCTTGAATCCCAGGCACTTTTTAAAAGTGAGAACCCTGGTTGTGTTGGACTCATGCGTGTGGGAGGCAGGTGAGGGCGACGGTGGAAGAGAGAAGGTAAAGAGGGGTGGGCTCCCGTGGACCCCTTCCCAGAGTTCCCCTGAGGCAGTTCGTGCCCACTCTTTCTTCAACAAGGCAGCAGCAACAGAAAATAAATAAAAAATAAATGAGAGAAAGAAAAAACAAGGGGAAAAGCAGAATATGCATTATAACCCCAGTTAAAATTCTAGAAAACAATAACTTGATGGGAAAGGATCCAAAATTATGTAACTCACTTTTTAAAAAAAATCTTACTAGTTAATGAAAAAATAAAAATATTCTCAAAATTTTTAAATCAATGGGAGTTTATTATCATGAGTAATTAATTTGAGGCTAAGAATCCACCACAGAGGGAAAGAAAGATTCAATCTAAAGAACAATGCAAAAGGAGATGAACAGAAAAACAAAATAGAATACATGTATACTTGATTGTACCTGAAAGGCCAAGAAGTGGTAAAGTGCATGTAAATGAACCCAAAACAGAATGATAAAAGCGATTCCTAATAGAATAGTAATCAATAAATGTAAATGGGTTAAACTCACAGATTAAAAGATAGAAGCTTTCAAATTGGCCTTGACAGAAGTTAGCAATATATTCTCTGCAAGAGAATGCTTAAAACAAACAAATGATATAGAGAAAGAGTGAAAAAAGTTAAAATGGGCAAATTCAGGGCAAAAGTATCTTAATATTTGACAGAATAGAGATAAAAAATCTAAAGATAAATGTGGATCTGGGAAATAGAACCATAGTCAGGAAGACAGAGCCACTGATACATCCACAGATATCCAGATGCAGCTTTAAACTATGTCAGCAGCAATGACAGAACATCAGGAAGAAATAAAATAAGAATTTTAGCTTTCAATGAGTACAGAAAGACTGTGCAAAAAATACTTGCTAAAATATCCCCTAACAGGAAAAACATCAAGCTACAGCTTCAAGAAGTTCTAAGACAATCCTCAGAATAAATACAAACATCTATCTCAATTATAGTGGGGGAAAACCTAGATCAAAAGCAAACTCTTCAAATCATATAAAGAAAAAAGGCAAATTACATTCAAGAGAACAGCAGTTAAAGCAACATCTCCCTTCTTAATGGAAGCGGAAGGAAGAGCAGTGTCAACACAAGGTGCTGAAATAAAGACTGCTGCCCCTCCAGAATCCTTTACTTGGAGAAAATATCTACCCACTTAGAAAGTAAAATTAACAGTTTAACAGGCTTCACAACAGATGAAACAGAAACAGCCGGCGAGTACATGAAAACAGCCATGAAGAAAATGAAGCCATAATGCGATACCACTGCCAGGATGGACAATTATATTTTTTTAAGCCAAAATGAATGTGTTGAGGCTGTAGAGCAACTGGAACTCTTGTAATTTTTGGTGAAAATACAAAATGATATGACCATTCAGGGAAAAGCCCTGGCAGTTTATTTCTTTTATAGAACTAAGCATGCATTCAAGTCCCAGCCATTTAATTTCTAGATATTCACTGAAAAGAAATGAAAACGTATGTTCACCAAAAGACTCAAACCAGAATATTCATAGCAGACTTTTTTGTAAAAGCCAAAAACTGAAAACAACCCGAGTCCACCAATAAAAGGCTGAGAAACAGAACTGATAAACTCATTCCCTGTAATACTGTTGGACAATAAATAGTAGTTTCTGTTGATACTTGCAACACCAAGGATAACTTTGCTAAAACTTAGGTTGCATAGACGAAGCTTTTCACAAGAGTTCACACTGTATAATTTCTTTATGAATTGTCTCACTGTGATAAGCTTTGTCCATTTGGAACTTAATATAAATGACATCAGCAACAGAAAAACTGTAGAACTTCACTTAAAGATAGGCACGCTCAGGTAGTGAGGAAGTATACTGATATCTCTACAAATTCCTCTGTGCATCTAAAATGAGGTAACCAATGTACAGATGGAGAGATAGATACAGACACACTGCAAAAGTAGAGTGAAGTGTTAATGGCAGAAATTTAGTGGTGCATAGAGGCATTCAGTACAAACAGTTCAAAACTTTTCTGTATGTATGAAAATGTGTATAATTTGTAATATTGGAAAAGTAAAACTGGAGATTATTAAAATTTACTAAAAGCCATACAAGATTTTATTATTCAGTGGAATGACATTAAATGCTTTCTTGTGGGATGATATAATAGAAAGATGAATTCTTCCCAAGTTAACCTACAAATTAAATGCAATTGTGATTAAAATTCCTGGTACATTTTTAACTCAATAAGCTTAAATTCAGTTTTGTATGGAAGAGTACATAGCCAAGAGTAACTGACTCAACATTGTAAAGGAAGAGCATAAAAAAGAAACTTTAGCAGATTTCTTGCAATGTCATAAGGACAGAATGATCCAGTAGTATCTCCTACCCCTGAGGGCACACTCTGAGATTCCCCAAGGACTCCTAAGACCTAGAGAGCGTGTGCCTTGGTTACTTTTCTCATTGCTGAGGCAAAATACCCAATACTCACAAGTTAAAGCAGGAAAGGTTTATGTAGCTCACAGTGTGTAGGGTTTTCTGTCCATAATCATCTGCCTCCAGGGCAGGGTGGCAGACGGCAGAGGGAACAGTTCACAGCTGGGGAAAAAGCAAAGGTAACAAGAGAGAGAGAAGAAGAGGAGAGGTTAGAGGAGGAGAAAGGAGAGAGGTCAGCCTCTTTCTGTCCCTTTTATTTTATCCAGAGTTCTGGGATTAGGGTGGTATCAATCCAATCAGCGGACTGATCCAGTAATCACTCAGGGGGAGCTAATCCCAGGACTTTTAATTCCAGCATCCAAAAAGCCAGTCTCCATGACACATGAGGCTCTGGCAGGGATATTCAGACACAAATCACAACATGGAACCCCACATGGAGGATTTTTTTTCTTGTATGAACATTTATGATACAGTTTAACTTACACATTAGACACACTGCAAGGTTAACAGTAACAATAATAAAATAGGACAATTATAGCATTATCCTTGAACAAATGTTATGTGAATGTGTTCTCTCTCTTAAAACAGTCAAGACAAATATAAATATTTCAAACTATAAAGGATCTTGGGTAATAAAAACCACAGATAAAGAAAGAACTATGCTAACAATATGAAATATCTGTGCAAGAATAAACAAGCTGGCCAAGCCAAAGAGCTTAAAGATAGAGTCACACACGTATATGAGACCATCATCTATGGCTGACATAGCCTTAAAAATCTGCTAAGGAAGGCTCAGTTGTTTGGTGGGTGGTGCTTGGGTTGCTGGCTCACTAACTGAGGGAAAAAGAGATTGAATCGGTCCCTAGTAACATCCAACAGGAACAGCAGATGGGGTAGATGTGAATTTAGAAACTATACTGCTCTCACAAGCCCATGCGGGAGTGTCTTCCCTACCCAAGGGCGGGAGGGACTTACACAGCTTCAGAGTCCAGGCAGCACACCCAGCCCTCTCTGCTTCCCACTTCCCACCTCGGCCCGATACCTGTGACACTACCTTCTCTCTGTCCCACCAGCGCAGGGGTGCAGGTACTTGGAGGTCACATTTCCATCATTCCAAGAACCAGCCCCACAGAACCCATTTACAGTGAAGTCGCGCACTCTGATATTTCGGATGTTAAAAAACAGAATATCAACATTGTATATAAAATTCATAAATGACCCTGTGCATTGTCAGTTGACACAGCTATTGACAGAGGATAAATTCCAGTACCCTATAAATACTGAAAATGGGAGACCCCCACATCCCTCATATAAAATAGCATGCTTAGGGGCCAGGAATATAGTTCAGGGGCACTGCACCTGCCTGGCCTTTGAGGGGTCTTGAGTCTAATCCCCAGTATCAAAACAAACAAACAAACAAAATAGCATGTAGTTGAATCATAGCATACACAGAGGTGGTAACTTGAACACCTCTAAATTACCTGCAATACTGAATACATGAAGTTTACAGGGAACACTGATGGGGGGAATTTGTATGGGCAGAGGCAGTCTTTTAAGAAGTATTTTTTACTTGCCATTTATTGAACCCAGACGTGGAACCTGTAGACAGGGAGGGCTGACTGTATTTCAAAACTTTGAGAACTAACATCAACATGCAAACCACAGATCTGCCTTGGTGTTAGTGTTATATATGGTGAGTTGTTTGCCTGTGTGCCTTTATGTATCTAACAAAGTTCAGCTTTGAGCAGATAGGATCTTTGTATTTAGGAGGAAAAATATTTTTCCTTCAATGGACTGGGTGAAATGAGGCATTGTTTTGAGTGAGTGCATAACAATATCATCCCAAAGGACTGGAGGAGGTGATGGCAGGCTGCAGGGAAGAAGCTTTGGCTTCAGCTTCTTTTGTATGCACTGAGCTCCCGAACCCCTCACTGTGATCACTAATGAAAGAAAACAGACTTAGCTTGTTGACCCTGAAATCAGGTCTGCTAGAATCTCACAGGACTGTAGGTGAATGAACTTACCTGGAAGTGTGCCTTCTTATTTTTCCAAAGTCCAGCAAATACACATGCTCGTGTGCGCAAGCACACACATACACACGCAAATACAAACGCATGCACACACCTCCACCCCTGGACTGCGGGATGCCTAGAATCTGTGCTGATGATTGTGGACCACGAGCATTGTGGAGGCTTCTACCCACAGGCCTCTCGTTCCACTACTTTGTGCATCCCTGGGAGCAGAACAGCACTGATTCACTGAATTAAAACCTTTCTCTACATAGGTGAGCTCTATCCTTACACAATACATGAATGCGCTTCAATCTAAAAGATGAGGGTCAGTTACTGACATCTAACTCTGAGCTCTCATGTTTTGGAAGGGCCTTACTATCCGATTTGAAACCTGATAGGTAACTTCTTAATCAATGATTAAGCACTGGAGCACTGCCAATCATGATTGGCACTGGAGTCAGCAGCCGAAGGCTGAGGTGCCTTGGCTCTGGTGTTGGGTGAATGACTATCAATCCGTACACTAATGATGTTCTTCTTTAAATGAAGATTTTGTTTTCAGTTTGGATCACTTTCCTTATAAATCTGTGTTTTGGAAGTAGAGCCTGAACAGATGCTTTATGTATGTGGAGAGGTGGCAAGAACTAGGGTTTGCAACTTGAGGACACTTTTCACAAGATTGGGTAGCTCGCTATATTAAGTAAGCATGTATTTAGCACCTGTTTTAAAACAGGCCCTTGAGGCTGGGGGTGTAGCTCAGTGGTAGAGCACTTGCCTACCAGCACAAAACCCTGGGTTCAATCCTCAGCACTGCAGACTGGAGAGAGAGAGGGAAAGACACAGAGAGAGACATACACACAGAGAGAAAGAGAGAAGAAGAATAGATAGGTAGATGGACGACAGAGTTGGTTTTCAGCAACAATGATGTTCTCTCTTCCCCTGACTTCCTTTTTTCTTTTCCTTCCTTCCTTCCTTTATTTCTATCCTTTTGCAATCATTTAAGATACTTCCGCGTGCATAACAATTTGCCCTGTTTTAAGTATATGGAGAAGGATTCTTTTCCTTGCTTCCCAGAACATGGAATTTAATTAAACTCTGCATGCTCACATACAGCCAAAGTTAAAACCCAATATGAATGCACCATAGACACATGAGGGCATTAAATTACAAAACAGGAGAGACGTTACAAGCACAACTGAGCAGCTCTGATCCAAAAAATCAAACTCCAAAATCCCAAACTTTTTGAGCATCCATGTGACTCCACAAGGAGAAAATTCCACACCATGAAACTTTGCTTCATGCACAAAATTATTTAATAGAAAGTATAAAATTGCCTTCAGGCTATGCGTATAAATTGTACCTGAAACATAAAAGACTTGCATGTCTCGCCTTGGGTTCTGTCCCTTTGACAGGTCATTACATATGTGCAAATATTCCAATCAAAAAAAAATCTGAAATTCAAAACAATTCTGCTCCCACATATTTTGGATAAGGAATACTCAACCTATAGTTTTAAATGAACAGAAATGAAATGGATGATCTTTTAACTGCTGGCTGAGAAGGTTTTTCCGCTAATGAGCATCACGGAGCACGGCACAGGAGGGAGAATTTGTGTTGCCTGAAATGATCGCACTGAAGGCACAGGCAGGGTCAGGCCTTGAGTGTGGTGGGAGGGTGATTATGGATGCAGCGGCTGGGAGCAGGCAGGACCCGGGCAATCAGTCAGGGTGGGAAAGCAGCGTGCGAGGCTCACAGGGAAACAATTTCCTCCTGGAAGCACTGGGCCTGGGCAGGTTTGCCACATGCCTCCTCTGTTGCTGCCGAGACTGGGAATTCAGATGGGTCAGGACAGGGGCCCAGGGCACCGTGCAGGACCACCCCTTTGGCTCATGGCTGCTTCTTCCCTGAACCCAGCTAACCCGGCCATCAGTGAACAAGAGCAAGTAAGCCCCAGTCACTGGGTATCTGAAAGCAAGACTACTTCCCTGGGCATCCGTGGGACTTGGGACTCAGACAGATCCAACCATGGAATCCGTGTTTTAACCTAATCATCCTTGTAGCATTTTTCTATAGCGATACAAATTAAAAACAGTGATCAGGTAACAGGAAGAGACAATGTGTTTCTCCAATCTTTAGTCACTTATTGTAGGAAGCCTCAGGGTGACTTCAAGAAGCTAGTAGGTTGGGCAGGGCATATGGATCGGGGCACAGTGCCTGTCTGGCAAGCAGGAGGTCATGAGTTCAATTACTGATACCATAAAAAAAGAGAGAGAGAGAAGAAGCTATTAAGCAACCATGACTGCCTAAAGAAGATTACTAATTTTTAAAAGTTTCCCTGTTGTCCTATCTGGCCCATCTTAATAATATAGAGCAGTCTTGTATTAAATATCTAATTGAGTAAATCTTAGTCAGTCATACAAAAAGTTTCTCGAAATTTACTCAGAATATTTTATGCTTCTTAGGTGAACTGGAAAATCAACAAGCACAAGGGCACTCCTGGAAATTTTCAAGTAAGCTACAGAAAACACACTGAATACCAATAAACAGCCTTGCGATGTCTGTGTGAGAAAGTACTCGAACTTGGAAGTAGAAGGGAAACTGAGATTTGGCCTCGATCCCTGGCAGATTTCTCACACGCGATGAAATTCCTCAGAGCAGGAGCGGCAAATGCCTCCTCCCACGGAGGGCATGGCTGCTAATCGATCACAGTACACTTCCTGCTGAATCTGAAGCACGCTCAGAATCCTCCGCAACACAGTGCTGCAGCAGGCAGGTCCCCTCTATGAGAGCTGTCAGTAGGCAGTATCTATATGTCATTTACAACACTTATGTAAACTCCATGTACACACATAGTGCACCTCCAAACAAGACCAAATAGATTAATTAAATCCCCTGGAGCTGGAAAACCCAGCTCAGGGTTATTTCTTTATTTACACACCATCTGACAAGTAACTGCAAAGCACCTGTAGGTTCTGGGGCTACAAAACTAAAGATGAAAGACGGAGCACCTACCTCCCAAAGCTTACATCCTAACGTAAGAATTCTGATAGCCTCAGCATATATGTGTTATCGCAAGAGAGATACTGTCAAAATCTAACACTAAACAGTGTTAGACAGTGTTAGAAAGCATAGTGATAGAGATGACAGAGTGGT